TGAACATCCTGTCCAAATTTGGTGAATTTTGATTCTGATTCCCAGAGATACATGTGATAAGGCTAGAGCTGTCCCTTTTGGAGAAGCCCTAATTTGACCTATTTTCGTTCTTTGGTAAGATGCATAAAACATCCAAAAAAAGTTATTTTTCAGTAAAATATTTGTATACAACAATCCGTTTCATGAACTAGACATGTTCAAGTTATGAAAAGATATGGTTGTGTTTTGTTCTACCTCGGGTAGGGTCTCTCACAGAGAACACGACAGCTACTTTGTGTCTTATATTGAGTCATGTTAGTCAGATACAGACATGAAACTCTGGATTTCTCCATAATGAAGGCTGTCAGCGTTGTGTACCCGCGTGCTTGTGCTCGTGCATGAAGTGTACCGTGCCGAAGCACACCTCTCCCAAGTGTGCCAAAGTGCCTGAGCACGATACGGAGCGTCACACTGGTCAAACGAACTGGACTTTAGCTTTGAAGCGTGCTTGGGCACGGTACGGATGGCCAGTGAGACCGCGCCCTAACGCAGAAATCCTTTGTCTCTTGTCCTTTTAAAAAATGTAATACTCATCATGGTAGTTGTTTTATCATAGCCTTGTTATAGGCCTATACAGGTATTTGTTTTTACAAATTCTATGGCAAGTTTTCTGTGTTACTTATACAGCCTACTTTAGAAAGCACAATTGTATCTGTCTGACAACTTGGAGTGGCGGCAGTGATGCGGAGGAATCTTTCTGAAAAGCGGCCGCACCCTCCATTGGTTGTATAGCGCGATTGAAGTCCACTTTGCTTTTCTTTTTTCATGGTTAACCATGTACACGGAAAAAATGACGTCGTGTAACCTTTTACAATTTTTTGTAACTGTTCACACCCCTAATTCTAACACAACTCCAGCTCTACTTTACTACCACTGCAGCAAGAGAGAAAAAAAAGGGGTTTGCTTTCACATTTTGTTTCCTGTAACTGGGGGGATTTCTGTAAATGCCCAGCTGATAAACATCATGCAAAGTTTGTCATAAGGATGCAGATAAAGATGGTTGACATGGTTACGGCCCTGGACTCCTGATAAACAAGATTGACTTTTACTACATTTTTCTAGAATCAAACTTCTGAAAGGGTCATTTTAAAGATGTGTGAGCACATGAAAATCTTGGACACGAATAAACGATTACAAAGAAGAAAACTAGAATAGATAAATAGACAGAATGAGATCAGAATAGAATCTACCACAAACACCTCCCTTCCTATTGACTGTTGTCACTGAGCTGTGGTTGATGTTAGTTTCATGTTTTCACTTTGGTTTTTAGTCACTGCTTCTTACTATTTAAACCGATAAATGAAAGCAGTCCAGCAGTTGAGCTGAGAGCAAGCAGCGCAAGATATCTCCTGTGGATCAAGAAACTACATTCAGGTATGAAATTCAGCATGTGAGGTTTTAAACAGAAATGTAAAGATGTGTGGTAAAGGTGCAGGGTGTTTCAGTGCTATTAGAAATTCTTGTGAATTTCTCTGACATCCTAATGATTAATATAATATGTTTTAATTTTATGTGCCTACATTATATGATATTATCTGATACTTCTCTGTCAGTTTGACACAATAACCACTGCAAGACTATTATTCAACTTGAGTTCTACTTAATCTCATACCCCTCTTTTTATTTCTGACTTTTTAGATCTGAAGATGTCAGGTGAGTAAACATCACTCAAGTTCATACTCATACATTAAAAATCTACAAAAAGTTATTCTCTAACTTCAGTGACCCATGAGGTGAAACTTACAGCTGTGTGAAGTTTATGTTTACTTGTGTATAATAAAATTAAAATGTCACATTTATAATTTTATTGTTTTAACAATGAATGGAGGAATTGTGCATTTTATGGGCTTTAAAAGAATAAATACTTTCCCTAAATGAGCAAATAATAAAGTGTACCTTTTCTTTCTTGCAGGCTGACAATGAGAGTAAGTATCCTAAATCAACTTTCATCTTTTCTTCACATTGTGTTGAGTTGATAAAATTCATGTTTGTTGACCTCTCGAAAAGCATGAAGTAATAAAAACTAATAAATCGAATATCTAGCTGAACAGAAATGCCATTGACCCGAAATCAACATTAAGATTTTCAGAAACATATTAATCATACTTACTGTGGACCGCAGTGTGAGGAAGATTATAAAGTGAACTTGACCTGAGATAACAGCCAGTTGTATCCACAGTATCAACACCGTCAGGTTGTACTGTCTGTTTTTACAGTCTGTGGTCTGAAGAGAAATTTGACCATAGGGTTTGACAGCATCTTGTGATCTTCTGAGACGAAACACTTTGTGTTCAATCAAGTGTTTCTTCACTTCTCAGTTCCTCTTTGTTCAGCACAGCAGCGTCCGAGTCCTTAAATTGTCAAATACTTCAAACAGGGTAATCAATCAGAAGTAAGGCCCATTGGTAGGATTTGAAACGGTTTCCTAAAAATAATTTTTAGATGATACGTTTGATGTCGTTCTCATGATTACTCTAAAATAGTGATAGGCCTAAATAAAACATACGTATTATTGAAACTGATGAAGCATTAAGCTACTTGTTAAAATGTTGTTTTAAATAGGTTACATTATTTACTATGTTAATACACATCTGTATAAATATCTTTAAAATAATAATAAATAAAAACACCTTAAACTGAAATGAAACAGATGTGATTTCTGCTGGTCTGCTTCTATCCTCTAAATCTTGAATGTATGGATGCTGTATGGTTTTGGGATTTGTCTTTGATGTTGATGATTGTTGATGATTGTTGATGAAAGATGATTGTTATGGATGTGTTACAGTGCTACGTTTTGTATGTTTGACCTCTCCTGTCATCATAGTGCAAATCTATATATTTGGGCTTTGCCCTCCCCATGTTTCAAAAAATGATCACCTGAAGACCTCTGGACATGGATGTGGTGTTAGAGCAAGTGTGTGGGCATGTCTTCTTCTCTCTCTATCGCCCTGCACCTAGGCTACGTGATGTGCCTAGAACAAGCCCTTCACCACTACAATTTGGTGCAACATATTTTCCTCAGATATTAAAACTATTTCATTTTTTTAAATTTGTTCGGTACATGTTAAAACACACAACAGAAAAAAAAAAACGATTGTTTGTCCCAATTAAACAATCGTTTTATCCCATTCCATGTACGGAAAGGAGCAGCGAGAAGAATACATCTTACAAAATTATAGCCTTTTCTTAAAATCCCCTCCACTCACAGACTATTCTATTTTTTCTTACCACTGGTTACATCATTTAAAGTTTTACGTCAGATCACATGTTGTGCTTTTTGTTTATAATCCATACAGTTGTGAAAAAGGATCTAAAGGTTGGCACACATGATCTTCCTAAAGGATATGTAACTGGTCCCTACCAAGCTGAAGGCGATGTGACAAATGAAAATGGCGTCGGACAGGAAAATACATTGGTGAGGAATGTTCCAGTGAGAGAAGGCGATACAGAGTTAAGAGGGCACAATGTCGGAATTGGAGCCGAAGTGTCCGAGGATAATGTCAGAGCCGTGGCCAAAGCAGAAGTGATCAGTGTCTCAGCCTCTTCTGGTGATGGTGCTGCCACAGCTACACTCGGCCTGTCAGCAGACACTGGAGTTGGAATAGGAAAGTCGGGTGTAGAAGCAAAGTTCTTGGGAACTGGCTTCTCCTTGGGCGTAAAACAGGCTTTCTCTGTTTGGTTCTGGTTTGAAATGGATTTTTCAAAACAGTAGCTCTGAGCCAAACACAGCTCACTGTGATTGTTCCATTTGTCTTACAAGTAAATCTGTTGAATCTATTGAAGAGTTTTCTTCCAAATGTAAACAGCTGAGATTTCTTTTCTTGATTATGTATCCTCCTACTTTTGATGGAGTCTTGATCGGTCACTTTGTAGTTTGTAACATCACAACTTCTCCATCATCCCAAACAAACACGCTGAGAACCGGCTCCTCCATCGCTCGTAAAACAGGTTTCCTCTGTTTGGTTCTGTGTTTGAAATGGATTTTGAAAAAAGTTGACTTTGGACAAATACAGCTTTTGTGATCTTTCCTTTTGTTTCAAGAAAAAAAATATGAGTCATGTATTCAAAGATTCATTCTTAATACAACTGTATCTCAGTTATTAAATACATTTAAACCTTTGATGCATTCAGATCCTTCTTTGATATCTTAAATCTTATATCTTGGTGTTCTTTTTTAAGTTTTCTCTCTGTCATAGTTATCTCTTTCGCCATGTGGTGGCTGTGGTTCAACTTTCAAAGAAATAAATCAAGAAAAACCAAAGTGGATCATGAAACCCATCTGAGTTTATTATAATCAGGTTTAGTTACAAAACAACCAAAGTGGAGTGCAGACAGTCCTGCAATGCTGTGAATGATATACAGTCTCATTTGTACACAATCTCAGTCACATTCTTACACAAACTTTATCAAATGTTTGTTGATCTATTACAGTGTTTATTTACTGGACAACACCCCACACACCACACACACACAGTTTTTTCCAGATGTGTCGTTTTAACTTCCTGTGACCGATCATTGAAAAGCCTGAAAATTAAACTACTGTTCATCCACAGTGAGAAACTGTAAAGAATGACAAAGCATCATGAACTAAAAGCCTCATCCTTCATCTGCAGCTAGTGTTAAATAACAACAGTGACACCAAGTGGTGAGATTGTCAATTACAGCACAAGACATTTAAACAGCACTCTCTTAAAGATGGACGGATGAAACGATCTCAGCTGATGGAAAAAACAAAAGCAGGAGTTTAACTCAAAGTCATCATACATTTCTAAGAGACGTGATCGATCAAGCAGAGAACACACTCCAGACGCCAAACAGCCGGTGAAACCCGCCCCTCCTCATCCTCCGAGCTATCCCGCCTTTCAAAACGAAACCATGACAACTGTATTTAACGGAGGACTTTACACCTCTTAGGGGCCAGAGACAATCGCCTGTAAAAATCTGGACTTTCAGCACGTAGACTAACCAGGTGCTATGGTGACGACCCTGATGCCCATGGGTGCCAGATCTCGAGCGATGGGGAGAGTCATTCCAACGATGCCGCCTTTAGAAGCTGAATACGCCGCCTGGCCGACCTGGAGAGCAAACAAAGAAAAAGAATAGTTGATGAACAGCATGAAAACACATTTCTTTTGATGTGTGTGTGTTTTTATTTTATGACCTGTCCGTCAAAAGCTGCCACGCTGGCCGTGTTGATGATGCAGCCCCTGTGTCCGTCCGCGTCAGGCTCGTTCTTTCCCATCTCCCCCACCGCCAGGCGGATCACGTTGAAGGTTCCTGCGATGTTCACCTGAAGGTAGGGAGCACACAGAGAGTCACACATCCGCGGGCGTCCCTTCATGCTGCACGTCTCTGCATCCGTGTGTCTGTCTTACATTGATAACGCGCTGGAAGTCCTCCAGGCTGTGAGGTAAGTCCTTCTTGAAGTTGTAGGTTTTAAAGGCGACAGCGATGCCGGCACAGTTCACCGCGAGGTCCAGCTTTCCAAACTTCTCTCTGGCCAGGGACACCGCCGACTGCACGTCTGCCTCTGATGTCACCTGGGAAACGCCAACAGGACACTTAGAAGTTGACTTGATTCTTGTGTCCCTGCTCTCGCCGGCCTCCTCCTTCTTTCTTGTGCTAAAATGCAATTAGCGCTCAGGCAGAGAGAGTGATATAACTGTCACACCTGACAGGACACATGTTTGATGTGCAGTTTTCCCTTTTGAGCTAAAGCATTTAAGATAAAAGTAAACGAGTAAAGCTGTCTGAACTGAGCAGATGTATCTTCTTCTGTACATGGCAGTGACGGCAGGTTTTCTACAGACATCACATAAACCGCTAAGATGTTAGATCGATAGGACCAAGAATATGTGTATAAATAAAGGATACACTTTTTGTTGTTTTGCATGCAGGCGAAGAACCAGAGAAAGTTTAGTATTGAATACTGATTGAAGGTCACATGAAGAACTTGACGTGCTAAAGTCAGCAGTGATAGTGTTGGATGACGTGATGGATGCCGCCTACTAATCAAACACCTGAAAAGGTGAGATGCATCATGTTGAATGCAGATCGCGCAATTTTCCATCCCTCGACTTTATCTGGATTTATTTCAGCGAGCCACCTTCGTTTTTTATTTTTTTGCAAAAAGTGGAGTAGAGCCGTGAGTAGTGCCTCCCACCCACACTGGACCCATTCCAGTTTTCCTACCGCAGCAATAGAGTACAGAGGATGCAGTCTCCACTGCGCTGCACTCTGTGCTCACTCATCTGGACAATAACAACACATACGCACGAATGCTGTTTGTTGATTTTAGCTCAGCATTCAACTCTGTCATCCCCTCCAAGTTAAACACTAAACTCAGAGACCTGGCTTCACACCTCCCTCCGTCACTGGATAATGGACTTTCTGACCAACAGACCCCAGCATGTTAGGTCAGGACCACCTGCTCCACCACCATCACACTCAACACAGGCGTACCACAGGCTGTGTGCTGAGCCCATTCCTCTACTCCCTCTTCACCCACGACTGCAGACATTACATGGATCCAACACCATCATCAAGTTTGCGGACGATACAGCGGTGATTGCCTCATCAGCAACAACGATGACACGGCCTACAGGAGGAGTACAGCATCTGGCCGCCTGGTGTCTGACAACAACCTGCTCCTCCAACACCAGCAAGACGAAGGAATCATCGTGGACTTCAGGAGAGAAAGAGGAAGCACGCACAACCCCATTCACATCAACGGGATGGCTGTTTGAACGTGTCTCCAGCTTCAAGTTCCTGGGGACCCACATCACAGAGGACCTCTCCTGTCCACTAACACCTCCAGTCTGGTTAAGAAGGCTCATCAACGCCTCTTTTTCCTGAGGACACTGAAGAGACACCACCTGTCTTCAGCTGTACTGAGGAACTCTCTACCGCTGTGTGATCGAGAGCATCCTGACCAGCAGTGTCTCAGTCTGTACGGAAACTGCTCTGTCACAGACCGTAAGGCGCTACAGCGTGGTAAAAACGCCCAGCGCATCACAAGGTGTCCACTTCCTGCCATTGAGGATGTCCAAAGAAAACGCTGTCTGCGGCGAGCTCACGGCATCCTTAAAGACTCCTCCCACCCTGCCCACAGACTGTTTACCCTCCTGCCCTCCGCGTAGGCGCTTCAGAAGCCTCCGGACCAGAACCAGCAGACTGAGGAACAGCTTTTCCCCAGAGCTGTTTCTCGACTGAACTCTACCCCCGAACTCTGAACTCTGAACTCTGTCCTCTCTCTCTCTGCACCCTGCTGACCCCCCCTTTCCCCTGCATATCACCTCACACCCATCATCCCCCCACCACTCTCCTCTGGTCACACACACACATCTCTCATCCACCTGTATTATTGTATATAGTCTGTTCATATTATGTACATATTCTTTATATTATCTGTAAACTAGTATAGCATGCTCACTGCACACCTTTAATCTGTATATTATAATCCTAAGAATACACTTATATTTATAGCATTTATTTATAATTTATAGCATCCCATTAATCCAGCCATCCAATATACCTAATAATTCACTTTTTGTCTACATCTGTAAATTTTGTAATTACTGTACATAGCACAGACTCTTGCACTTTCTG